GCACATTGGAGCCTATTGTGACTATAACAGGGAGCAGAGGAGCTTCATGGTGGTGTACGTGGATGACATCCTCATCTTTTCACCCTCCTCTGACCTTGTAAAGGAGGTGATGCTGAAGCTGCATGACAAGTTCAAGTGCAAGTCCCTTGGTGACGTGAACTTCTACCTTGGGCTCCACATCGAACGAGACGTGGAGGAGCGGAGCATGCGAGTGCACCAACGGAATTACCTGGAGGCGTTGGCTGCCAACTTTGGGTAGAATGAAGTTCATGTGGCTACTCCCTTTCCTTCCGGGTTCAAGTGTGTGAAGGGACCAGAAGAGGAGAGCGTTGGTGAAGAGGAGAGGCGCCGTTTTCACTCGTTGGTGGGCAGCCTCATGTATGCGGCGGTAAACACCCAACCGGACGTTGCGTTTGCTATCGGACAGCTAGCTAGGGTTGTGCAATGCCCTAATGAGGAGCAGGTAGCAGCTGGAATGAGGGTGGCCAAGTATCTTGGCCAAACACCGACTGTTGGGCTGCAATACTCGGCGGCGGCGCAAAAGGGCGCGGAAGGTGTAGAACCCGGACATTTGTTCCTCACCGCCCACTCGGATGCTTCATATGCATCAGAACCAGAGGACATGACAAGTGTTGGAGGGTTCATATGCTGTGTTGGTGGAGGCCCAACTGCTTGGGAGAGCAAGAAGCAGGTGGATCAAGCTTTGAGCTCGGTGGAGTCTGAGTACATGGCACTCTTCCGTGCGGTATGGGAGATTGTGTGGCAGCGGCGTTTGTTGGCTGAATTGGGGGAGGAGCAGCAAGGACCTACCCCACTGTACTGTGACAGCCACGGTACCATTGCTCTTGCTAAGAACCCTATGTTGCATGGACTCACGAAGCACACGGGGTAGCCAGCTGACATGATGACCAAGAGTCTGGTGGAGCAGCAGCATTGGAAGTGTTGCAAGCTGGCTGGGATGGCTTTGAACTAAGAGAGCAAGATCCTAGGACCAACAATCCGAGGGGGAGTTTGTTGGTGCAACCCTACGGTTTGCACTCGGCTTGTTGTCCGTGTGCGTGCATGCGTGTGTGCATGGAACATCACAAAAACCCTATGCCAAGTTTGGACGAATTTTGATTTCGATTGTCTTCGCGTAAAAAAATCCGGAGCCAATTTGGACCGACGGTTGGGGTCATTTGATAGGAGCTTTGAGACACATCTCGCGACAAGGTTTGGCTCGGTTCAAGTTCCAATTTGGCACGCGAGCTGTTCCGGATGACATTCGGGCGCAATCCGTTTTGTTGCAAATTCGTGACCAAATTATTCAAAACTAAGTTCTGTTTTTGTTCATTTTGGATATTGAGGATTTCAAAATTGCATTTATTATTGCGGTTTACAAGAACCATTATTCAGCATTCTAGCAACAAGCAGTCTTAACACCAGGTCAAATAGCCTACGCACTGGCGGGCCTTGAAAGCGCCCGGTGGGCAAGCACGACATCTCCAAGGTCGCCATCGTCGATGAGGAACTTGTTCGGAAAGACGAACGCACCCATAGCTGGATGGTGGGGGATCCTCCGCTCCACGACAGCAAAATGGATCATCTGTTTGACCTTTTTGCATCACTCCTGGTAGTCTGGCCTGTTCAGCTCCGGCTGGCTACTGATTCGCTTGCGACGCTTATCCTGCAGAAGGGGCCATTCGATCTGCAATGTGGTGTAGGGTTGGGTGGATGGTTTATGAGGAGGGTAGGTTACGGGTAAATGAGGCAACTGAAAGCGGTGATGCAGTCGTCACTATTTACGTAACTGCAAAGGCCTAATCGACCAGGGTTTTAGCTGAAGTACAGGCAAGGGGTTAAGGGGATGAGGCATGGGGGTACAAACACATATCTACATCCTTACCGAAATCAGGCCCCATGCCACCATGCGGCTCTTGAACTTGGTGAACACCGTCCCGCCCCTCTTGAAGGAGAGCTTGAACGCATAAGCGAACAAGGGGTTGCTTAAGGGTGTCCCGGTGGCCTTGTCAAAGTGCCAGTTGAGGGCCCACTGTTCTGCTTTTTGGCAAGGAGGGTGTGGGTTGGAAAGGGTTTTGTAGAGAAATCAAATGGGGGGATGAGAGTCAGGGTGAGCCACATCGCACGGTAATATGTAGCTGCCAAGGGGCATATGGTAGGGCATATTGTGTTTTCGAGTTGCACTGCACATACCATCTCTGTACTCGGCTAGGAGTTGATCGTCGTCGAACCAGGTCGTTGGGTGTAGCTCACTGGGCAGGCTATCCACGAGATGGCTGTAATCGGCAAGGCCCATGCCGGTGTATGCTGCTGGCCTGAGGGTGGAGTTGATAGTTGACCTTGTTGAGGACAGCTGGTGGTTGAAGACTCCCATGGTTGACTTGTCATTGTGCAACCACAGCATCTTCATTGCCTCGAGCCCTTCTGCAGACAAGTGGACAGAGAATGCTTCGAACACTTCCTCCGGTGCAGGGTAGTACTGTATTTTCTCCGGCGGGTTCAGAAACATGAGCTGAGAGCACACTAAGTAGGCTTTGTTCTGCGCAGGGGTGTAAGGTATACAACACGACATGGAAGAGAGAAACCAGCAGTTATGAGGGTGGCCGCGTGACCATGGGATGGTGACTAGCAACACGGTTTGAACTTGCCACGTCACCCCCCACCCACCTGACACGCGTCGCCTCGTCAAGCGCCGCTCCCGTGTACCATTCCAAACCGCCACGTCAGCCCCAACCCTCACATTCTACCATGTCACACCCTTTTGCATCCGCCAACAACCCGCCCTACTTGCCACGTCACACCCCCCACCAAGAGCCACGTCACCCCCCACCCACCTGAGACGCCTCGCTTCGTCATGCGCCGCTCACGTGTACCCTTTTAGGGTGCCACGTCATCCCCAACCCTCACCTTCCGCCACGTCACACCCACCTGCATCTGTCACGTCATCCCCCACCCTCACCTTCCGCCACGTCACACCCTCCTGCATCCGCCACGTCCACCAACCAGCCCCACGTGCCACGTCACACCCTCCTGCATCCGCCACGTCCACCAACAACCAGCCCCACGTGCCACGTCACACCCTCCCACCCCATGCCACGTCACCCCCCACCCACCTGACACGCGTCGCCTCGTCACGCGCTGCTCCCGTGTACCATTCCAAACCGCCACGTCAGCCCCAGCCCTCACATTTTGCCACGTCACACCCTTTTGCATCCGCCAACAACCCACCCTACTTGCCACGTCACACCCCCCACCAAGAGCCACGTCACCCCTCACCCACCTGAAACGCCTCACGCCGTCATGCGGCACTCCCTTGCACCCTTTCACACCGCCACGTCATATCCCAAACCCTCACCTTTTGCCACGTCACACCCAACCCGCATCCGCCACGTCCACCAACAACCCGCGCCACTTGCCACGTCACACCCACCCACCCCATGCCACGTCACCCCCCACCCACCTGATACGCGTTGCCTCGTCACACGCCGCTTCCGTGTTCCCTTCGAAACCGCCACGTCAGCCCCAACCCCGCCCTTCTTGCCACGTCAACCCCAACCCTCCCCATGTGGCCCGCCACATACTGGGAATGGGTTTGTCTCTTGCAACACTAGCACTCGTGCCTTGTCCACGGCGCTCATCGGCGGCGGGGTACTAGCCATAGGCAGGGCTGCCGACCCACCGGCATAGCTGGCAGGTACTCCACGACGCAGGCCGAGCTGTGCAAACATGGCGTACATCTCAGACCGCAGCGCGTGGAACTCCTCCCGTGTAACAAACTGCTCGTGCTCCGCACTTTCACCTAGGGCACCCATGAGCGGAGGAAAAGGGTGTGAAGAATCCCCCTTCTAGCCAAGGGGATCAACGTCTTCTGCAGCAGTCCCGTGTGCCCTCACACTATCACGCTGGCGGGAAAAGGGGAGCTCAGGGAAGGGATTGGCATAACTCCCTGCCTGATGCCCGCGCGAAGGATCGGCGAGAGGGGAGACCGCCCTGCCCCGGACAGGAGAAGCGTGGAGTTGCCAAAATTGGTACGAGGGTGAGGCGAGTGGGGACTACGTGACGGGGGCGGGTGGAGGGGATTCGGATTCAACTCCTCTTGGCGCGCCTGGTGCCGTCGCAGCGACTTTGCTCGGGCCGGCCCATGGCGTGTAGTACCTTGGTGCTCCGGAGGAGAGCGGTGTAACGCTCGCTCTTCCGGCAACCTTCGTTAGATGCATTCGTTGCACGCTTACGGGCGGCCCAATGCCTGTAACGCGAGGGGCTGAGATGTAGAGGGAGCCGGAAAAAAAAATTAGAGTCGATCAGTTTCAAGGCGGGGCCAGACATGCATGCATATTCAGAAAGGTTTGAATCTAGATCGGGTTCAGGGTTGTACTGGTTTGAGACAAGAGGGTTTACCTTGCTTGGCAGATTCGTCGACCTTCTCCTTCCCTGCATGGGAGAAACAATGTGAAAAAAGGGTGCTTTTTGGCACGGTTTAGCAGATGGTTCAACACGTCACGCCAGTTTTATTGGACACAATGCTCACCTTTCTGCTGTCCCTTTGTTTTTGGGGCAGCCTGCGCCTTCTCGTTGCCACCTTTCCGCGGGGTGCTTTGGCGGACGCTGCGACGTTTACCGGCAGGTTCTTTCTTGCTGGTACCCACTGGAACCCCTTTGGCGCGGCCACCCTTTCCTCCTCCATCCCCTTTTGCTCCCTGGCTCCCTTGCTTTTTACCAACCCCTTCACTTTCGACCTTCACCTTACGCGCCTTCGGTTTGCCCGATGCTTCGCCGCGCGCAGCGTCAACTGCCCCGCGTTTTCGGGAAGGGCGAGTCCGGCCCCCCTCCTTCCCTGCACCACTTACCCGTCTGCCACGCCCGCCCCGTCCCTTCACTGGCGCCACATCCTCCTCCTCCTCCTCCTCCTCCTCCTCCTCCTCCTCCTCCTCCTCCTCCTCCTCCTCCTCCTCCTCCGCTGCCTCCTCCTCCTCCTCCACATCCTCCTCCTCGTCGTCACCCTACTCCTCCTCCTCCTCCTCCTCCTCCTCCTCCTCCTCCTCCTCCTCCTCCTCCTCCTCATCTGCCTCCTCCTCCTCCTCCTCCTCCTCCTCCTCCTCCTCCTCCTCCTCCTCCTCCTCCTCCTCATCCTCCTCCTCCTCCTCCTTCTCCTCCTCTTCGTCCTCCCCGCCATCATTCTCATCTTTTTCATCCTCCCCAACATCCGCGTCATCCTCCTCCGCTTCCTCTTCATCCTCCTCTCCCTCCGCATCCTCCTCCTCATCCTCCTCCTCCTCCGCATCACCGGGGTCTTCATCGCCCCGTTTCGGCTTTGTTTCCGTCGCTGCTTTCTTGCCTCTCCTTCCGCCGGATGCTTTTCTTGCTGCGGGTCGGCCCTTCTGGCGCAATGCTTGACCGCTCGCCTTGCCACGGGCTTCCTTGGCGCCTCGCGGTGTCCCAACTGCCGCGCCATCGGCGTCGTCAGCACTACCTGTCGTCTGCCGCCTCTTCGCCCGCGTAATGAGGTCCCCAGGTACGGCGGTGTCATAATCGTCCTCCCCATCGCTCTTCCTCTGCCTACGCCTCCCCCGTCCACCAGAAGGTGGAGAGCCACCGACCAGCCCCACCGACTCGTGCTCCCCCACCTTGTCCTTATCCAGCACGGCTGCAGAAACTTCGACCACGGTCGGCTGGAGCAGCGTCAGATGGTGCTGCGTTGCCGCCGCCTCGGACTCCTTGGTTGCGGCATGCTCGGCGCGGGGATCGCCTCCGTGATTTCCCTCCGTTGCCGATCCCTCCATCTCCGCCGACGGGAGTGCAAGACTCGCGATCCCTCGCCCCGGATCTTCGTTGCCGCCAGTGGTGCCGTCTTTACTCGGACCGGGCTCGGTTCCAGCAGAGGCAACATCCGCATCTTTGTTCACTGTAGAAACACGCTTGCGTGGCGTTGGTTTAGGCCCCTTGTCTTCCGCTTTCGTGCCGGCCTCCTGTTGACCGCGCGCGACCTTTTTTGCCGCCGCTTTTTTCTGCCCAATGCCACGAGCGACGGACGCATTAGTTTTTTTAGCGCCGCCACCACACTCCCTATCGATTTGCTTAGACGTCCTCCTTGTCACGCGGCGGCCGGCCTGTTCCTCCTCCATTGCTTGGTTACGTGCTGCATGTGTCATGGTAATTGTAGGAGGAGCAAAGTTGTAAATCGCGCAGAAGGGTTGAGCCGGTTTGGAAAGGGTTCTGCAACTGAATCCCACGATGGGATTGTCGACGGTCTATCACTGTTATGTATTTCCAAAAACCGCCGCTTCAACTAAATCTGTCATAGTAGCCACTATGCTTCGCGCTAAGGCCGATCTGGAGAGGCGTGTGTCAAGGCAACGAGCAGCGTCAAAGTGTTGGTCCAGGGAGTGACGGAAGCAGGTGGGTGGGACAGGAGGGTGGTTGGGGTGGGTTGCGAGACTAGAGAGAGTAATGTAACCCTATCAGGCTATATTGGACGGTGTACGTGTAGCCATCCTAGCATAAACCCACCTACCGCTCGATCTCAGCCGCTCAATGGCTGAAGTACCTCTTGGCTGATGACTGTGTTGCGGGGGGAATCGTTTGAGATGCGTCGGCCAATCACGGTTGCCAACGCATAAATCACTAAATATTAGGGCCAGCGGACGACATTCTAACACGATCATCAATAGTAACAAACGTGAATCCGTTGCGGTATGGTGTTGGATTGTCATCCATTCTTGCACAGACATTAAACAAGTGCTTAGAAGGAGTGGTATGAAGCACAGGCCCAACGCACAAGCGTAGATGCGTTATCGACAGCCATGGTTAGATTGTGCGACGATGCAGCGTTCAGGCCTGCGGGTTGCGCGACATGGTGAATCCGTTGTGGTATGGTGTTGCATTGTCATCCAACATTACATGGACATTGAAACCGTTGTGTTATTGTACGACATTGTCATCCATTCTTGCATATTCATTCAGCACGGTGCGTAGAGGTACACTACATCTTGAGAGAAGACACGCTATAGGTATTCGCTCCACGCAACAATCATACGTTAGGGCATGGAGTTATTGGGTACTTCCTGTATCGTTATCAAGTAAGGGTTGTTCAACATCAGTCCTAAGGATATGAATGTTTACTAGTTATGAATGACTTGAGTGTCTTGTTAAGTTGTAATTGTACATTTGCATTTCCATGTTTGTTTGAAGCCTCTTGAGCTCACCTACGTGATTCTGATTTCCCCCCTATATCGATTCTCGACACAATCACAGATTCAAACGGATATCTTCCCGCTCTTCCTCATCCCCCTCGACTCTCACGCACGGTTCCTAAACACAAGTTCTTGACTCAATAGGCACGTCCTTCTCACCGTGCTCGCGACGCACACACACGACCGTGAGACTTAAGATCCTCCGCATTCTCCTCTGCTCACGTCGTGGTCACTCTAAACGGGGGCGACACGCCTTGTAGGGAAGACGGCCCGTGAGGTGGGCGGTCTGTATCGTGCCTGGTAACGACCACACGGCTCGACATCGTTAGCCAGTCATAAACATAAGCGCCAATGTCAAGTGCCAGTCGTGCAGTGATACAAGCCGCCCACCACAGTGCGCGCATTGGCGATGATCGTGTAGCTGTCACAGGCTTCTTGAACGGAGTACTTAATGCGTTCACAAGCTTCATCACGGCTAGTAGCTTCATAGGCAATTTCTCGACTCTACAACGGATCCGTAACACATGGGCTCTTTACTAGGCGTCGTTTGCGAGTTCTGCAACAGATGGTTCCCCAACGCCCAAGTTTATGGCGGTCATAAGTCACGGCGGACCTCTTGCCAAGGACTATCCGCCGTGGCAAGGCCGACGCAATCTGCACCGACCGCCGGTCTTCACGCTCTGCTATTCGTCCACGACATTCTGTCGGACGCTCCAACTGCTCCCGGTTCACCTACAGCGTCTAACGCATCCAACGCCGTCAGTGTGAGTGGTCCTCCACGCGTGCCTGAAGCTCACGTTGACGAAACTCCCAACGACGTGAACGAGGGGCCTCCTGAAGATGAACATCAACCACAACGAGGAGCTCCTGCGGCTGACACGAGTGACCATCCTGAGAGCCGGCCCGAAGGGAGTCATGCCGCGCCGCCAACAATCATCTCCGGACAGAGCAATGCCACGCCCCTCAATCCGCTCGCGTTGAAGCTGCTGCATTTCGTTCGGCGCGTGAATGGCGGAATGGGAATGGCCGAGGTTGACATCAACGGCCTGCTTCAGCTAGTCGTAGAGCCCGGCCTTGCGCCTCTTGTGATCTCAGAGCTCCGGAACTGTAAGGATCTGGAGCGGTTCGGGATGGAGCGTTTGGCAGGGCTCAATCGCGGATGGTCGGTGGCGACCTTCGAGATTGACGGTCATCCACCACAGCGCTTGCTCTTTCAAAACTCAGCCCAGGTAAGCCGACTTTGCATTCAAGGCCGTGAAATGATGATGAGGCGCACAGGGTTTGCATGTGCGTAGTTATCCTTGCATTAACCGTACACCCACCTTCACCGCCACTAACCATGCCTCTCCTCTCACCTGCCTTCGCCACCGTACACCAGGCATTCGCTGAAATGTTTGGACATCCCAACAACACGCCCGGCTTCAAGCTCAAGGCGGGTGTTGATGAGGACCCTGACGCAGGCGGCCGTCGCTATACCATGCCTGAAACAGGAACGTGGTGGAACGATGCTCAGGTAAGGAAAGACCACGTTGCCACCCCAAACCCAATCCTTCCTCATGCCTCCATCGCTGCACTGATCTGTCAAGAGCATCTTGAGCCCTAAACCGTGTGTCCGTTGCCGCTTTGTCGTGCACTGCAGGAACACTTCGGTTGGTCCAAAGTTGTGGGGGGGATCATCTTATATTCGGATGTGACGCACATGAGCATGAACGGCCAGAAGAAGGCATGGCCGCTCATGATGACGCTGGCCAACATCTCCCAGGCCAAGCGATGGGGGAAAGCCGGGCACACACTACTTGCCCTCCTTCCTATCCCCCCGTCTGCAATGTCTGCCGTGGAGAAGGTGATGCTCTTCCAGCGTTGCGTCATCACCGTGCTGCAGCCGCTTCTTGATGGCATCGCCAGGTCCGTACTCGGTTTGCATCTTGCTAAGACATCATCTCACCACCTGCATGGTATGCAAACCCTCTCTGTATGTAGCATGGCCCTTTGCCCCTCGTCGTTCCTCCCTAAAAGCCGTCACCCGAATTCCTGTTGCCCCTCTACCTGTTCCTTGCAGCGGGTTCCGTCTCAGGGACCCTTTCGGTGATTGGCAAACCGTGCGGCCCCTGCTGTACGCCTGGGTGTGCGACTACCCCGAGAGCGGCAAGATCAGTTGCACACTCTCGCATGGATCGCGGATGCCGTGCAGCATCTGCTATGCTGCAAAGGTGAGGTCACATGCCATCTGCACGCATTCAAATACATTCTCGTTTGTGGGTCGCCTGATAGAACCCACATAGCTACCACCCTTACCTTTTCTATCCCATCCCTCACCCCCGTGCTACAACAGGAGCATCTGAGTGCTGTCAAGGCACGGAACACGCCGCGCACGCGTGAACAGCAGCAATGGATCGTTAACAAGGCGGCTGGGACGACAACTAGCCATGCTGACCCGTGCAAGGCCTACTCTACCTACCCTGTTGAGGTGAGTGACCTCTTTCCCCGGCCCATGAGTAGTCTATGCTCTCGCCCGCCCCGTCATGAATTGCCAGATGTGCTCTGCCCCATTGAACTCACCCCACTTGTGGTTTAGGTTAGCTATCCACTCTCACGTACATCTCTCCTCCATTCCCCACCACATCCCCATTTCCAGTGCGTGCTCTGGAAGTGGGATGTGGTAGGGACCGCGTGGGGCAATCCCTACCTCGTGGTGATGCCTGACATCATGCACCAGGCGGACCTGGGCATCATGAGCCACATTGTGGCTGCCGTGCGCAAGATGAAGAAGCGGCATGTGAAGCAAATAGACAGGTCAGTGTTTTGGGGATTGGATTCGTTGCTCTTCGTCACATTTACTCAAACCATAAGTTCTGTCCTATTACTGACATGTTTCTGCCCTTTTGCCACCGCTGAACTGATGTGTATGGGCAGGTGCCTGTCTCTCATTCGCGACCGCACGCGCCTGAATCACATGCACCTGCCGGAGAGCGCCTACTTCAAGACCGGAGCATGTGTGGCGGCCTATGAGCACAGGGTCGTCATGCAGGTATGAACCCTCCATTCCCTGTTGCTTGTCCTGGCCTAAACCCTCAAGCAGTCTGCTCATGCTGCCATTGTTTGTCCCAACTCCTCACACCATCTGTGCTCACCCTCCCCTTTGTTGCTATCCACATTTTTTGCAGGTCATGGTGTTTGTTTTTGCAGGCCTGCTTCGCCAGCCCCAGATGGATGCCGTTCGTGCCTATCTTGGCTGGTACATCCTGTGCTCCCAGCCTCAGGGGCACACTGAGCGGTACCTCCGGGAGCTGAAGAAGATGACCTCTTGGTAATAATACCACGCATGTAAACCCCCGTGCATGGGATGAATGCTTGGCTACTGTAAATGTGCTCTTGTAGTAGGCAATCTTGTGAGAATGTTTGGTGCTAAACTTTGATGGGAAAGGATCACGAATAGGAAAACCATATGAATAAGTAGACTCTGTGATTGCATGTGTTGTCATCTCCCACTCCCATCAGGCTCGTTGAGCAGTTGCAAGCAGCCATCCTCTTGGTGCCTTGTGAAAACACATCTCATGTCGCACTACGTTGACTCCATACGTCGCGCGGGTCATGTGACTAAATTCAGCACCAACATGTTCGAGCACTTGCACGGACCGTTGGTAAAGAGGATCTACCATCGGTCCAACAAGCGCAATGTAGATGGGCAGATCATGAAGTTCCATGATAGGCGCATTCCGGATGTGGTGCCGGTGGATGATCCAGCTGGCCGGGACACCACCATGCGGCAGGTAAATCTGTTTAGTGCTTGAATTGCATGGATATGAATGCAGAATGTAATAATATGAATAGCATATGTTGGCAGGCGATTGAGACCGACACACGGACGCTCATCAAGGAGTCATACTTCCTCCCTGCGGAGTTACCACAAGAACCCACTTCCACCAACTGGTTTGCAAGGAAGTGGGCCAAGCAACACCCTCGTGCCCAAGCTGCCCTCAAGGATGCGCTTATGCGTTATGCAGGATGCGTCACCAAGATTCGAGTAAGTAGTTGCAAGTTTATGCAATCAACCATCATTTGGCTGGCTCGTATCATACATGACTAATATCAACTGTTATGCAGGCCCATGCATCGCTGGCAATCCCTGCAGCAGACAACGCCAGCTTCTCAAGAGTTTCTCACTTCGTTCGAGCGACCCCTGACTATTTTGAGAGGCCATGGTACTCGGATGTTGCAGTGGAGGGTGTAAGGTATGGTCGGAGAGAGGAGGGTATGCAAGGTTGCTTCTGTTGTTCCATACAAAAATACGAGGAGAGAGGGAGGAGCTAGCTTACGTTAGATATTGGAATGCAAGCGGAGAGGATACAGCAACAGGATGCCTTCGTCTCAAGTGGACGACAGGAATGTACGCGTACTCCGTGATTCCGTTTGAAGCGCTGCTCCGCCACGTCCATGTGGTGAAGGCATTCCACCTGGACAGTATCTATCTCCTTAATAAGTATCAAATGTGATGCATTTATCTTGTAATAAAATGGCCAGCAT